AAGTTTTGTGGCGCAATGCCGAGGAGAACGAGGCGAAAAAATTCCTCCCAGCTGTTCATTTGTGCGCTCGATGTATAGATCCTGTACATGGCGGCGAATGTTCGATAAAAATCATTTTCATTGCTTTATGAATATGCCCCTCAGCATTATCAGAGTATATGGTCTCATTATATGTACATATATATCTTTAAGTGTGTGTGTGTGTATGCAATATATACATTTATAAAAAAACTTATATTATTATAATGAACACATACCGGTAATAATTTTTCGATTTTATCTTTTGCAGGTTCAGGGTCAGTTGCCCCCTTTAATGATCCCCGTGTTCCCTCCTGACCAGAGGGCGCTCGCGGCTGCGGCTCAGCAAGGCTTCCTCATCCCCCCAGGATTCAGCTACAAGGCCGGATGCAGTAAGTCTTCTTGTGTAATTGTAGAGATAAGCACGTCTCAGCCTTTTGGACCACGTCGGCTACCCTGGGTAGGCAGGAAGTGTATGGATTGGGGCCGATCTGATGTCTGAGGTGTATGGATTGGGGCTGATGTGAAGTGTATGGATTGGGGCTGATGTGAAGTGTATGGATTGGGGATGATCTGAAGTCGATATATTGGGGCTGATGTGAAGTCTATATATTGGGGCTGATCTGAAGTGTATGGATTGGGGTTGATCTGAAGTGTATGGATTGGGGCTGATCTGAAGTCTATATATTGGGGCTGATCTGAAGTGTATGGATTGGGGCTGATGTGAGGTAAATGGATTGGGGCTGATGTGAGGTAAATGGATTGGGGCTGATGTGAGGTAAATGGATTGGGGCTGATGTGAAGTGTATGGATTGGGGCTGATGTGAAGTATGTGGATTGGGGCTGATGTGAAGTGTATGGATTGGGGCTGATGTGAAGTGTATGGATTGAGTTGATCTGAAGTTTATGGATTGAGTTGATCTGAAGTGTATGGATTGGGGCTTATCTGAAGTGTATGGATTGGGGTTGATCTGAAGTGTATATATTGGGGCTGATCTGAAGTGTATATATTGGGGCTGATCTGAAGTGTATGGATTGGGGCTGATGTGAGGTATATGGATTGGGGCTGATGTGAAGTGTATGGATTGGGGCCGATCTGATGTCTGAAGTGTATGGATTGGGGCTGATGTGAAGTGTATGGATTGGGGCTGATGTGAAGTGTATGGATTGGGGCTGATGTGAAGTGTATGGATTGGGGCTGATGTGAAGTGTATATATCGGGGCTGATGTGAAGTGTATATATTGGGGCTGATCTGAAGTCTATATATTGGGGCTGATCTGAAGTCTATACATTGGGGCTGATCTGAAGTCTATATATTGGGGCTGATCTGAAGTGTATGGATTGGGGCTGATCTGATGTCTGAAGTGTATGGATTGGAGCTGATCTGAAGTCTATATATTGAGGCTGATGTGAAGTGTATGGATTGGGGTTGATGTGAAGTGTATGGATTGGGGTTGATGTGAAGTGTATGGATTGGGGTTGATGTGAAGTATATGGATTGGGGTTGATGTGAAGTGTATGGATTGGGGTTGATCTGAAGTGTAGGGATTGGGGCTGATCTGAAGTCTATATATTGGGGCTGATCTGAAGTGTATGGATTGGGGCTGACCTGATGTCTGAAGTGAAGGCATTGGGACCGAATATGTTGTGTGTGTACCATGTAATTCATTTGTGCACTCATAGATTTGCTGCTAATTGCAACTTAAACTCGTTAATTATAATTTGATGATTGCGTTGAACTTGCTTGCTACCAGCAGCACAACTATGAGTGCAAAAATGAATAACAAGCGAAGACGTCAATATGCTATTGTGCACTGGCACGTCAGTTGCCTAATGGCGCCCAGGTGATTGGGCCCTGAATGTGGAAGAGGTTGCTGACCTCTGG